ACACCTTTTTATATTCAAGTCATATTTCCATTTGGAGCTATAAATATTTTTGTATAGGTAGATCCCTCTCCCTCCCTGCCTTTCTTCGATTTTTTTTTTTTTTGGAATACAGGTAGGCGTAGGAGTGTTTGATTCTAAGGGTATACACAATTTAGTGACTGTTCAGGCATAGTTCCAAATTACTTTCCAGAATAACTTTACCAATTCATACCTCCACCACAAGGCACCTTTGCATCTATCTTTCCCTCCAACAATTATCATTTTCCTTAATTATAATATTTGGCTATCTGATAGGTGTCAGATGGAACCTTAGCTTTGCTTTAGTGTGCATTTCTCTAATTATTCCTGACTTGGAGCATTTTTTTTTTCTGTTGATTGCTTGGATTTCTTCCTTTGAGAACTATCTCTTCATGCCCTTTGACCTTTAGTCTATCAGGCACACTTTTCATTCTTACATATTTGAATCTGTTTCTTACATAGCTTGGATATTAGACCCTTATCAGAGAAATTTGCTGCAAAGATTTATTTTCTGAGCTGATTGGTATCTTTATAATTTTAACAGTATTGATTTTGTTTGCACAAAAACTTCAATTTTATAGAATCAAAATTTCCACTTATCTTCTACGATCTTCTACATCCCTTGTCTGTTCATGAACTCTTACCCTACCCATTGTTTCAAAATGTATTTTCTTCCTTGCTATTCAAATGTGTTGATGATGTGATCTTTTATTTTTAGGTTGTGTATCCATTTGGTCCTTATTTGGGCATATGGTTATGAGAGTTTGATCCAGTCCTTAAATTTTGCTAGATTGCTTTCTAGTTTTTCAGCAGTTTTTGTTTAATAATGAGTCTTTACTTCTGTATTTGGGGTTGTTGGGTTTATCATTATGTGACAATGTTCATTTCACTTCTATTGTGTACTTGATCTGTTCCAGTGGTTGACTTTTCTATTTTTTTTTTAGTAAGTACCAAATAATTTTGATGATGAATGCTCTTCAGTAAAGTTTGAGATCTGGTACTACTGGACCCTTTTCCTTCCCACTTTTTTCGTTATTTCCCTTTGAGAATCTTTTTTTCCTCCAGATGAATTTTGTTATTTTTTTTTCTAGTTCTACAAAGAAATCCTTTAATAGTTTGCTCAGGATGGCACTGAATAAATAAATTCACTTGAGTGGTATTTTCATTTTTGTTTTATTGGCATGACCCGGCCATGAGCAATCAATATCTTTTCATTTATTCAGGCCTGTCTTTACTTCTGTACAGTATTTTAAACCTTTTTATTCAGGTAGGTTTTTTTTATATCTATTGGTAGGTAAACCTCTAAATATTTCATGCACTCTATAATTATTTTTAATGGAATTTCTCTTTATCTTCCTGCTGAATTTTGTTGGCAATATATTGAAAGAATGGCAATTTATATGGTTTTTAACTTAATATCCTGCTACTTTGCTGAGGTTATTATTTGCTTTTTAAAAATATTTATTATTTACTTGTTTTTAACATTCTTTAAAATATTTTTTGAGTTCCAAATTCTTTCTCTTCCACCCCTCCTCTATTCACCAAGAAGGCAAACAATGTATCAATTAATTATTCATGTGAAAACATGCCAAACATTTTCATATTAGTCATGCCACCAAAAAAAAAGGCAAGGAAAATAAAGTGAGAAAATTAAACTTCCATTTGCACTCAGAGATGGAGGTGGGTAGAATTTTTCATCATAAGTCTTTGGGAATGTCCGAGATCATTGCATTGAACAGAGTAGCTAAGACTTTCACAATTGATCATCGCTGCAATATTGCTGTTACTGTGCACAATGATCTCCTGGTTTTGCTCACTTCATTTTGCATATAGGTCTTCTCATGTTTTTCTGAAAAATGTTCTCCCCCTCCCCATCATTTTTAATAGAACATAGTACTCCATCACAATCATATGCTACAACTTATTCAGTTGTTCTCCAGCTGATGGGCATCCCCTCAATTTCCATTTCTTTGGCTACCACAAAAAGAGCTGCTACACATATTTTTGTATATCTTAGTATTTTATGTCTTAGTATATCTCTTTTACTGAGCTGTTAATTCTCTTGTATCACTCATTTCTTTTCCCAATTTTTCCTTTACCACTCTTAGCTCTTTCTTTAACTTTTCCAAGAATTATTGTTGGGCTTTTGCCTAATTAGCATTTTCTTTGAGACTTTGCTTGTGGCTGTTTTCACATTGTTGTCTTCTTCTGGATTTGTGTCTTGTTTTTCCCTGCCACTGTAGTATCTTTTTATAGTGAAGTTCTTTTTTCTTTTGTTTGCTCATTTCCCCCAGTTATTTCTTGTCTTTGAACTTTATGTTTAAAGTTGGGCTTTGCTCACTGGATGTGGGAGACTGTCCCAGGCTTCAGGCTTTTTCATACTACTATTTTTAGAATTAGTTCTGGGGGTCTACACATTTTCAGTGCTTGCAAGATGGTGTGATCTGGGGAGAGGTATGGCCAGTGCTCTGCTGGTCTGAGCTCTGGTGTTTATACAGGAAGGGCTCCTGCCCCTCTAGGCCCTGGAACTGTCACCAAGACCTCTGTTCTCCTGTAACCACAGTGCTAGTACTCCTCTCCACCTCAAAACTGTGACCAGGGCCCCTGCTCCCTTGTGACTGATTACAAGCACTTCTCTTCACACTGGAACTGCCACCTAGAGCTGTGTATGGGCAGTAGAGGTGCCAATCAGTGCCAGCTGTACCTCATGCCAGCCTAAGGTGTCCTGTAATCTATTTCTGACCAGTTGTTTGACCCCTTTCCTGTCTCCAGGCTGACAGCTTCTGAAGCTGCTGCTGCTGTCATAGCTGCCTCCAAGAGACAGCTGCTGGTGCTCTCTGTGCATGTGTTCTGGGCTGGTCCCTATCATGGTGTCACAGATCTATCCTACTGGCCTCCTAAGTTGTATTGGGCTGGAAAAATGCCTCACCCCACACCTTGGTTGGTTCTGCTGCTCTAAAATTTGATTTGAGGCATTATTTTAGAGTTGGGAGCATGGAGAGAGTTCAGCTGGATTCCTGCCTCTACTCCATCATCTTGGCTCAACCTTCTTATTATTTGCTTCAATTAATTTTCAGTTGACTCCCTTGGGGGCCTCTATGGAGACTTTCATATCGTCTGTACAAAGTGATAGTTCTGGTTCTTCATTACTTATCTTTTTTTAATCCATTGCTTTTTTCCTTGTCTTGTTATAGATAACATCTCTAGTGTTATATTAAATGATATGATGATAATACACAACTTTGCTTTATGCTTGCTGACTTTTGGTTTTAGAAAGATCCTGTTTATCACATTAAGAAAAGGTCCATTTATTTCTATACATTTTTGAGTGTTTTTATAAAAGAAATGGATGTTGCATTTTACCAATTTCTATTAATGTAATTATGTGATTTTTACTGTTTTTCTCATTAATATGGTCTAACATGTTTATAGTTTTCCTAATATTAAGCCAAATGTACATTCCTGGCATTAATCATATGTGGTCATAATGAACAATCTTTTTGATGTGTTGATATAAACTGTTAATATTTTATTTATTTACCTCCACGATTCATTAGGGATATTGGTATGATTTTTTTCCCTCTGGTTTGTCTCTCCCTAATTTTTAATAATATACTATATCATAGAAGGAATTTGATAGGATCACTTTTCCTGTTTTTGCAAAGAGTATATGTATCTCATTTTTCAATTCATCTGCATTTGAAAAAAGGTACACTTAGTTTCTCTACAATCAGATTTTTTTTTTTTGGTTGGGCAATGGGGATTAAGTGACTTGCCCAGGGTCACACAGCTAGTAAGTCTTATGTGTCTGAGGCCGGATTTGAACTCAGGTCCCCCTGAATCCAGGGCCGGTGGGCTAGCCACTGTGCCACCTAGCTGCCCCTACAATCAGATTTTTACTTTATTTTTCTCTGTAACTTGACAAATGTTGCAGTATTTACATATATATATATATATATATATTACCTATCAAGATTGTCTATAATGTCCTTAAAGATAGGATGATTTCCCTGTTTTTCTCTTGTAATTCAGCCTATTTTTATTCTTGGCTTATTTGGACTCAGGACTGGTTCCACTGCTTTTCTGAGTTCACTTGATGCTGGATACATTTTGCTCTAATCCTTTATTTTAACTCTGTGTGAAGCTTTGTGTTTCAAGTTACGCTCCTTGTCAATAACAGATTGTTAGATTCTTCTTTCTAATCTATTCTACTGCCCTCCTCCATTTTCCAGTTGAGTTTGTCTCATTCACATTTTCAGTTACGAGTATCAATTTTGTATCTCTCTCCATCTGATCCTTTATAATTTTCCTTCTCTTTGACTTCTGTTTCTCTTTAGAAAGAAGAAGGTTTTGAAAGATAAGGAGGGTCTGCAACACTAGCTATCCATATTTGATACAATCTTCCACCATATACTACTCATCTCTTCTTTTTTCACAGTCTTCAGTCATAGGTTCTTACCCTTTTAAAATTTCCTTTTCTTCTCCCTTCACACTTTACCCTCTGAACATAGAGTCTGTTTTGCTTAAGACCAATCTCTCCCTGAATTTACCATCTCTCTTAATCTTCTCCCCTCTCTTCTTTCCTATCTGATTTTCTGTTGATTTTAATGTATTTCTACACCAAACCTCACTCTGTGTGTGTGTGTGTGTGTGTGTATTCAACTCTTTGTGGTCCAATTTAAATGAAAATGTGGTTCTTGGGATATCTACCTCTTCCTCTATGTTGACATAGTTTTCTTCTCAAAGAATTTACATCTTAGTAGGGGAAACAATACTCACATCTATAGGCATATAATTTTTTTTTTCTTACAAAGCAGACACAAAGTCATCTTGGAAGATCTGGCCCTAGATTTTTAGGAAGTGGTTAAGGAGGGGGGAGGGAGAGATTAGGAAAGGCCTCATGCAGAAGGTGGTGCCTGAACTGAGTGTTCGAAGGGAAATAGGAATTTAAAGGGGCAGAGAGGAGAAGAGGGAGGATTATGCCCGTGCAAAGGTATAGAGCTGGAGTCTTGTGCAAGGGATGACAAGAAAGCCTTTATGGCTGGAGATCAGTGTGTGGGAATAACATCTAAGAATACTGGACAGGTAGGAAGGGGTGATATTATGAAGGGCTTTAAACCCCAAACAAAGGATTTTAAATTTCATCTGGGAGGTAATAGGGAGCCACTGGAGTTTATGGAGTTGGGGGAGGGAGAGTGATGGGGTCAGATCTGAATTTTAGGAAAATCTCTTTGGTGGCCGTGTGGAGGAGAGATTAGATGGGGAGAGATCTAAGTCATGGAGACCAAGTGAAAGGATATAGCAATAGTCCAGGGAAGAGGGGGTGAGGGCCTCCTCCAGAGTGCTGGCTACGCGACTAGACAGAAGGGATCTATGTGGGATGTTCTATAGATAAAGCCTACGAGATTGGGCAAGTTATTGGATATGTGAGGTGACATGGAGTGAGGACACCAGGGTCAATCAATCAGCAAGCACTGATTAAACTCCTACTGTGTACAACAGTGGGCTAGACGCTGGGGACAGAAACAATCTCTACTTTCAAGGGGTTTGAGGTTATGAACCTGGGTGCCAGGAAGGATGGGGGCACCCTTAACAGGAATAGACAAGTACAATTCTAGTTCATAACGGAATATCAGACAATTGCTGAGCTCTTCATTATGCTAGGCTGAATTACTGGCGCTAATGGAAAGCAGAAGGTTGAAGCAATTATCTGGGAAATTTAAACCTTTTCAGGGGCCTAAATTGTCTGAATAATTGTCTTGTTTTCTAACCTTCCTTCAGTACTTGGTTGGAGTTTTGGTGTTCACCTGGGATGAACGCCTCATTTTCTCTTTCTTGGGTCCTTGAGTAAGTGTACAAATCTAGGGACACTGAGGACAAACGCTGATCTTCAGGGGACCCGGCTTGTCTGAGGTTTTTCAGAATTTTTGGAGTTTTGAAAGATCATCTCTCCCATCTGTTTCCTGTTCTGTTTTTCAGCATTTCCTTCTCCTGCTCTTACATTACTAAGCTGGGCACATAAGGCGGGGGTGGGGGGGGTGAGGGGGAGTAGTCATCTCCAGGTTGGTAAACAACTAAAAGAATGTGGAGTGAAAACGACTATTGTTCTTTCCAATTTTTCAATTCAAACCAATGCAAGAATTGAATGATTTGGGGGCATATGAATAACTCAGCACTCTTTAGATGTGCCTATTTCCCTGAAGTAGTCGATGTAGATATTGGGAATTATACCTTGATAGTGGGGGGGCCTCCATGGTAACTAAATAAATAACAACATAAGTCTTTTGGGTCTTGGTAGTTACTCTGGCATTTCTAAAATAATAATATCTAATATTTATATAGAACTCGCTATGTTTTAGGCACTGCGCTAAGAGCTTAAAAGTGTTGTCTCATTTGATTCTCACACCAGCTCTGGGAGGTAGGTGCTGTTATTGTCTCCATTTTACAGATGAGAAAACTAAGGCAAACAGAGGTTAAATGATGTGCCCAGGATCACATGCCTAGTAAGCATCCAAGGTCATATTTGAACTCAGGTCTTTTTGACTCCAGGCCCACTGCTCTACCCATTGGGCCACTGAGCTGCCTTGTGAATTTAGTTAACTATAAAAACGTTGACAATCTCCATGGAAACCTCCTCCAATATCTCCTCCAGCGTTGAGCCTGGGCTCTAGAAGATGATACCTCCAAAGACCACAGTCCTGACAACAGATTATGTCTGCTTTCTGAGGCCCAATCTAGGTAAGTTCAGAAACTTTCAACATCAGTAACTTGGGGATCAATGCTTTGGTCATGGAAACTCATGAAGCCAAGAAAAACACAAAAGGGCCTTCAGTCGTGTGTGGCTTCTTTTCTCTTCTGCACTAACAATGGCGGTGGCTAAAGTTTATGGAGTTTTAAAACTACAGATCGACACTAACTTAACTGTTCATTCCTTGAATGTCAGCTCCATGCATGATACCATCAAGTTGACATAAAATATTATGGAAAGAGCAAAAGTTAGGTACAATATGGACAATCTTCAAATAATTTTATACGGTACAATACATGGGTAAGAGTAGGGAGATAGGTTCAAGGAGGGGAACAGATAAGTTACTTCAAACTTGTGCCCCTCCCCATAAAAGAAAATGCCAATTTACTAACCTTTGCAATGGGTCATTATTTCTGACCTTGTGAAATTAAAAATAAGCAAACTATACTCAAATGTTGAGCAGTAGAAATTATGTCTAAATGCTTTAATAATAATAATAGGATATTAATAATAATAATAATAATGAGATTTGATCTTGTGTTTTGGAATGTATAAATTCTGGAAAAATCCCATGTCACATTGCTTGGAAAATGAGCCCAGTCATAAGCATTCCTATGGTATTATTTTGTTGGTAGGATTTTTTTTTTTAAACAGCATGAGGCCTGTTGTGAGACTGAGAGAGATGCCGTCAGCATCATCAAGAGGAAATGGAGCAATGGTGCTTCGGAGCCACTGAGGCAGCCAAGTCAGTCCCCAGTAACAGGCAGCCTTGTGGAACACTCTGGAGCTGGGCTCGCAGGCTAGCGGGAACTGAGACATGTCAAGGAAAATGAGCAGAAATAGCTATTTTTGTAAGGGCGATGGAAACCACTTCTAAATCCAGGAAAAGAAAAATGAGACAGGAAAGGGAGGGCCACATTTTTGAAGGAAATCATGTGGTATTTTGGTTACTCTTTGTTGATGCAAAAAAAAAAAATTAACAGTGGCATTAATTATGCCTCAAGAAGAGTGTGTCAGTCATCCACTTCTGCACCCGGGTGGAGGCCAGGCAAACAGAGAGAACGTTTACCACTTGGATTAATGGAAATTTATGGTTCTGTTCTCCGAAGCCCCTCAAGGACTCAAACTGCTGAGCAACTCTGCAACAGCAGAAATCCGATCTGTACAGGTTTCAGGAGATAGGAAGGATATTTTACAAGACAAGTAATGACAACTAAATAGTTTAGGATGTTTATAAGACTTGTAGGGCTGAGTTCTGCCAATGTAAAGTACAGAAACTGGATATGCCAAGAAGGCGTTTTTTACTTTACATCACTTCGATGTATTTACGATCTACCTATTGGGACAAGCCGAGGCCTAACAGAGACTGATATCCTTACCAGGCTCTCTAAATCCTTACCCAGAATTAGACTGGTAATTACCATTTCCTTCAACATTCCTGAGAGGGGGATGCTATTTTAGACACATTACCAAGCTTGTTATTTTCCTTCTTTATGCTTTACAACCACTGATGTCTTCCCTCGACTATAATGCATTACCTACTCGGCTGCTTGTGAGTGTACTTTGAATATTAACTGCTAGACAACATGCTTCCCTTGCTGATTTTGAACCTTTTCTTTGGTACTGTCCCCGAATGTCCCAGATGTTGTCATTTCTAAAGTTGCTTCTTGACGTGGTAGTTCCACTTTTTTTTTTTTTGGTGAAAATAGTGTTTCTTAATTGAGGAGTCATGAGGAACTTCCCGGAGACAAGAACTACAAATTCCTGACATGTGTTTGGTGGTGACAGCATAGCTCAGCTCCCTGGAACCATCTCCTCCCCATGCCACAATCACCTTTCCCCCCTTCCTTCCTTCCTTCCTTCCTTCCTTCCTTCCTTCCTTCCTTCCTTCCTTCCTTCCTTCCTTCCTTCCTTCCTTCCTCCCTCCCTTCCTCCCTCCCTTCCTCCCTCCCTTCCTTCCTTCCTCCCTTCTTCCCTCCCTTCCTCCCTCCCTTCCTTCCTCCCTTCCTTCCTTCCCTGCCTATTTCTTTGTTCTTTCTTTTTCCTCCTTCCTTCTTTCTCTCTTCCTTCCTTCCTTCCTTCCTTCCTTCCTTCCTTCCTTCCTTCCTTCCTTCCTTCCTTCCTTCCTTCCTTCCTTCCTCCTTCCTTCCTTCCTTCCTTCCTTCCTTTTTTCTCTTTCCTCCTTCTCTCTCTCTCTCTCTCTCTCTCTCTCTCTCTCTCTCTCTCTCTCTCTCTCTCTCTCTCTCTCTCCCTCTATTTCTCTCTCATTCACCATTTCTGCATCCTGGTCAGAATTCCCCCTTCATCCCTCTGCCCCTTCTTGGTACTACTGGCCCTTTGTTCCTTACCAGCCTCTCAGTTGGCTCATTTCTTCTCTTGGGTAAAACAAAGGAAAGACATTACTGTGATTCTGCCTTTTAAAACATAATAGAAACAGAGCCATTTCATATTTACTAGTATTATAATACTCATTCATTTTATAATATAGTATTATGTAATAATATAGTACAATTAGGGCTACTCGTGAGGAGGGGTAAGATGGGCATGTGATTCCTAAATGGTTGCAATGATCTTCCTAAGTGGTCTCCTTTTCCCCTCTAATTCATTTCACACAAGGCTGTCAGGTTCCATTTACTAAAACACTTCTTTCCTCATTGGGCAGCATGATGGAGTAGAAAGAACGTGGGATTGGGAATCAAGAGAACTGGGTTCTAGGCCCTGCTCTGCCATTAATTACTCATGTGACTGTAGTTAAGTGATTTTAGCTTGAGCCTCAGTTTCCTCCTCTGTAAAATCTGGGCATTGAACCAAAGACCCTTTCAACTCTAGCATTTTAAGATTCAATGATTCAGTGGTAATCCCCAGTTCAGAAATCAGTGTAGTCCAACGGAAAGAACATTGTTGAAGTCATAGGACTGGGTTTAAATCTTGTTTCTGGTGTTTACTACCTGTGTAGCCTCAAGTAAGCCACTTAACTTCCACGGATCCCAGTTACCTCACCTGCAAAATGAAGGGGGTTGGTCTAGATGGCCTTTGACGCTGCTTCCAACTCTATGTTTATGATTCTATGACCCACATTCGGAACCAATGACTGCAGGACAAAAGTCAGAGTCGTTAACCTAACATGCAAGGCCTACACAATCCTTCTTGAGATCTTAGTGTATGCCTCAGCACTGTGTTGGACACAGTAGGTTACAGCAGAGGTGTCCTTTGAATATGTCAAAGATCATGCAAGAGGCAACAATGGGGAAACCTTGGATGCGCTATAGGTCCAAACACCAATGGATATAGGTGTTGTGTATTAATTCCCACTTATAAAATGAATAGGTATTATAATACTAGTAAATATGAAATGGCTCTGTTTCTATTATGTTTTAAAAGGTAGAATCATAGTAATGTCTTTCCTTTGTTTCACCCAAGAGAAGACATGAGCCAACTGAGGGGCTGGTAAGGAACAAAGGGCCAGTAGTACCAAGAAGGGGCAGAGGGATGAAGGGGGAATTCTGACCAGGGGATTTGAGTCTTTCTCTGGAGGGTGCAGGTGATCAGTGATAGTTGTCATCTCTCTTTCCTCAATTCCCTCTTTTGTCTCTGGAAAGTAATCAACTGCACCCATTAGAGTAATCAGCTTATTTTAAAACCTTAGGGCCATATAATATCTTTCCAGGTCCATGTGGCTTCCTTCCTCTACTGTTTTTAAAATGAAAAGATAGTAATGTTAACATAATCATTTAGAGTCTCCAGTTCGGAAAATTCCTAATGTTTAGCCAGAAATTTGGTTTTGTACCTTAATTTAAATTTATAGTTTTATCTAAGTAACCCTTGGCCTTTTTGTGACTGAAAAATTCAGGTTACCAAGAAGTAGTTGGATAAAGAACCAAGCAAAGAATGTTAATAAACAGGTGGTGGGTGGGGAGTTTGGGAAAAGAGCAGACCTTTTCTCAGAACTTCCCTGATGATACTAGAGGAAGTACATATCACTGGCTGCCATCCAGGTCATCCGCTCTGAGATGTCTATAGGACCGGTGGTTTTCCTCAGTCTCTACTTTCTCAGCCATGGCTCAGATTTTCCCTTTCACCTTTTACCCCTGTCTTGCTCATTCTTTCTGACTCAGCTTTTGAGGTCTGAGCTCCTTCCTCTCTGTTTTGAGGCACTTAAATCTCTGGGTTCTGAACTGGTTTGCTATTTTCTTTAAAATCCATAGCCTATGGCTGAATCTCCCCAATCAATGTCAGTTCTTCCTATGTGGCATCATTTCAATTGCTTTCAAAGACTTCTAAATTAATCAAGGACTTTTTGTACCAGTAGAAAGGCTATTGATTCAAGAGAAGCGTTAAAGCCTTTTTCAAACCGAGTTCATACTTCTGGTTGAATGACTCACTCAGGAAGTCTAGGTTGCCCATAATTATTAAAGTAGGAGTATGGAACACCTCTCTCACATTAATATCAGTGGAGGAATAAAGCAAGGAGATGCATGTTTGCTAGAAGTATTTGCTACTGTTATGGAGGTTGTTCAATGTAGAGTCCAAATGGAAGTTAGATCTCCCATGGAAGATGATGTCTTCTAGAAGCTTCTGCTTGTGAATGACATTGTTTTGATTATATCCAGCCCTGAAATATTAAAGAGTCTCCTAAACGAGATCTGTGATCACTCAAGGTTTTGGCTTAACTATTCATACAGGAAAAACTAAGTGGATGAAGAATGTCTATTGCCCAAACTATAACATTCAGTTGGATGGACAGCCCGTGGAGTTAGTCTATCAGTATGTTTCTCAGACCACAGACAATAAGCTGGGTCCAGAGTTGAGCAGGAAGAAAGAAAACTGGATTGGTTTTGGGAAATTACGGTGAGGTTTTGTTTTTCTTCACGATCCCAAGTTTCTTTCTGAAACAAATCTATCTTTTAACATTAATATTCTTCAGGGGATATCGTATGGCTGAAATTAATAGACTGTCATAGTCTCAGAATTATCGGCAAGGGCTACCCAAAGGACAAGGTAGATATTAGCAGTAGGTATCATATTACCACTGAAGAATTGCATCAGAGAAGTGACATAAAAAATGTCACCAGAGAAATGGAACACTGCAAACAGTGGACGGACAGTCTGTGTGCTCTTCTGAAATCCAAACAATGTCAAGAGGTCTAGAGGTATCACACTGCCATATTGGAAGGACAACATTTAGAGGACTGATGGGAGAACATGGACAAGAGTCACACAGGATTAAAGGGCGTAATGGATGGGAATCTGTATCATTGAAGGGTGTATGCACGTAAAGGAGAGCCTAGAACATTTGGAACATCTGTGTACACTTGTGGTCTCATGCTCAGTATACATCTGATCTGTTTCTTTGCAGTCTTTCCTGTGTTCCTGACAATATATTTTTCTGCCTCTTCTTGCATATGTCACCATTGGTAACACAATTCAGTCTACCTATAGCTTTTCTGCTTCTTTTCATCGTGTTCCAAGTTATTTGTAATTTTGATTCTTCTAATATCAGAGCATTATAATATCACTGGGAGAATATTCTTATTAAAGTTCAACAGCAGCAAGTAATTTGGGATCAATAAAAGCACTGATGGGATGCTCAAATGAAATTCAGCCCAGCGTCCTCCCTCTACCCAATTCTCTGTGATTTTATATAATTTCATCACACCTCTCCTTAACTGTGGTCTTTCCAGCCTGCAGACATCTGTAGCTCTGACATATTGCTGGGTCCCTGGAGACTGGGCTAAGGTCAGATTTCTGTGCTCCTGATCCCAATATATTGTATAAAGATAGACTGGGTAGGATAATGTTTACAAAGAAGGAAGAATCTTACAATGCCAAGGTGTCAAAGTTTTTAGGGATGGCAAGTCGCTACTCCAATCTTACATCTCTGAAAATGAAATAAGATTGCAGGTCACCTCAAAGGCAACTAGGTACTTTCCCAATTGTTCTCTGGGGCAATTCCAGTGTGCAAATGGACCTCAAGAGTGGCCTTGATTAAGAGTCTGGATGTGTGTATAGCAGCTACAAACTTTAAATGCAATACTTGTGACAGATTCCTCTTCCTTTGAAATCAACATAATTCACTCATTGTATGTTGTCTGTGCGATTGGCTGCAATCTCACAATTCATTGCAGCTCTTATAGATTTGATTCAATGAGCATTTATTAAACACCCACTACATGCCAGCTGAGGCAACACGGTGTACTGGATAGAAATATGGCCTTGGATCCAGGAAGATGTGGGTTCAGGTGCTGCTTTTGACACGTTAGCTGTGTGACCCTGGGTAAGTCACTCACATCTGAGTATTCTAGGTGACCCTTTTAAGACTGAAGTTGCAGAAAGTTTCTACCTGCAGGGAATAATCACAAATCTAGCTCCTACTCCTTTCGTGTCGGGCACTGAGCTAGGTGCCGAGGACACAAAGACAAAAACCCGAACATTTAAAATTGTCATTGATTTTATAGTTCCAAGTAATCACTTGTAATTAACCCTGTATGTCTTTCTGTATACAACAAATAGTGGATTCTCCCTTGGGGGGTTATCCTTAAACTAGAAAAACTTCTGCCTGATTTTCTGGGCACTTAGATAATATTGAGCACAGCTAATGAAGTACCAAGATTTGTAGCATCATTATCTTAAGGAAATGTCTGCTTTCTTCGAATCTATTGAGTAATGTTTCTAGCAGCTAGGTGGTACTGAGGCTAGAATGTGGGATTTGGAATCAGGAAGAAATGAGTTCAAATCCAGCCTCAGACACTTAATAGCAATGTGACCTGGTCAAGTCACTTAACTTTTGTCTTCCTCAGTTTTCCTCATCTTAAAATGGGGTTAATAACAGCACTTAACTCCTTAGGGTTGTTATGAAGATAAAATGAGCTAGTATTTGTAAAGCACTTTGAAAACCACAGAGTGCTATATAAATACTAGCTATTATTATTGTTACGAATAATGAGATTTGACTCTAATTCTGAGGTGCTCCCACTTCATAGCTCTGCAGGATTTCTTTTAATCTCAGTAATATAGTTTTAGTTGTATAGACCATTGAAGATATCCAGACACTTTTGAATGCAGGAACTCCACCTTTAGGAAAGAGACATTAGGATCATGTTCTTGGCATTATAGGACACTGTTTCTGCATGGAACTACACACACTCTTCAGGTGTTTCCCCTAGTTCTACGCACAGGGTTTTGCATTGGATTTACAAACATATTTCCCAAACAGTCACAACGTTTCCATTTTTGATAGAGAAGACATCTGGCCATCTCTTATTCAGAAGTGACTATGAATTCTTTATCATTTCACTATGTTTGTATTCTTTATGGATTTAATTAAACAAACATTTTCCTTTTTACTAGAGTTGCCTGTGGACAACTACTTCTTCACAATGCTGATTCTGTTTCCTCATGAAATGATGAAACTCATTGAGCAGGTAAAAAAAAATCTATTTTGGATCCAGTGCTGTACTAGATAGATGTTGGTGATGAGGATACAAAAGAAGTTTAAGACATGGTCCCTTCACTTGGGGAGTTTATAATTTATTGGGATCAAGGTTAAATAACAAAACATGATTAAGTACCAAAATGGGGGGTGTGGACAGTGAATGATGCAAGAGTTCAGAGGACAAAGAAAGCACATGTACTGAAGGAGCTTGGGTTGATGTCAGAGAGGAGTCAAATCCTGAGGGCGAGTAGGGTTTGGATGGGCACAGAGGTTGGGGAAAGATAACCAAGGAGCATGAAACCATTACAAATATGTAAAGTTATATTTTTTATTTTTCAAATGTTAACAGGTACACCAAATTATGGGTAGTAAGGAAGGGGTGTGGTAGAGTGGATAGAGGGTAGTTGGGAAAGCCTGGGTTCAACATGTCATAGCTGCGTGACTGTATACAATTCATGTAACCTTCCAATGATGTAGATGACTCCTTAAGACTATAAATGGAAGATAAGTGGTATAGTGGATAGAGCTCTGGACTTGGAGTTGGGGACACTTGAGTTTAAATCCATCCTCAGATACTTATTAGCTGTCCCACCCTGGGCAAGTCATTTCACCTTCATCTGCTTCAGGTTTCTCATCTGTAAAATGGGGATAATGATAGAACCTGCTTTCCAGGGTTGTTGTGAGGATCAAATGAGATAATATGTATAAAACACTTTACAAACCTGAAAGTGTTATATAAATGCTATTATTATTTTTATTTTATTTATATTCATTATATTTTTATACTATTTATATTTATCAATATATTTACAATATTATTTATAATATTTATATTTATTATTATTTTTATTATTAACAAATCCGCATCTGTACTAGGAATTTCCTTTACCCATGAAGTCACAAACATAGATTTAAAAATATTTATTGTTAATGATACCCTGTCTATCCTTTCACAATTTTAAAGAAGTTGTTTCACATGTAATTTTTATTTATCACAATAACTCTTTGATTTGGTCAGAGTAGGTATTACTATGCCCATATTACAGATAAGGAAACTGAGGCTCAAAGGAGTTAGATGACTTGTCCAGGGGTACATGTCTGCTATGTGGCAGAACTGGGGAACAGAGTTTCTGTCCATACTGTCCCATTATTGGATTCTGGCAAGGTTCTGGAGGCAGCCAGGGTATATAGGCTTGGAATCAGGAAGACCTGAGCTTGAATCCAGCCTCAGAGACATACTAACTGTGTGACAATGGGCAAAAGTTTCTTCATCTCTCTCACCTCCCTATTTTCTCATCTGTAAAAGGAGAGGGGGAAACAAAATAATACCTACCTCCCAGGGTTGTTGCAAGGCTCAAATAAGATAATAATTATAAAGTACTGAACATACTGCCTGGCACGTAGTAAGAGCTAGATAAATGCCAATTATTATTATTGTTATTGTTGTTGTTGACATATGTGAAGTGCTTTGCAAACCTTAAAGTGCTCTATAAATTCTATTATTGTTGTTTACATGGAAATGCTTAAATTAAATAATTGCATTAACTATGTATGCTGCTTTTCCTCTTTCCAAAATTGAGATATTCATCACAAGATAAGATCTGGGACTGGTGTGCCATTACTTGACAGCAATTTTCCCTTTGATATGGTGACCCTATCTTGCTAAATAAACAGAACTGCAATGTGGGGGGCTCAGTTTTGCTCACCACTCATGGCACTGAGAGTCCTTAGCACTGAGAGGCCGATTCTAGTAAAAATGTCAAAGATGCCCTTTCCAATACTTTGTGGAAAAGTTCGAATTGAAGACAGGCTTTAAAAAAGAGTGGGGTCCCTTGTGAATCTGCGCTCCAGCTTATGCAGGTCTGGCCTGAAGGGCACTTTGTGTAAAATTCAGTGATGATTGCTACCAGCTTCCTCACTGACAGTGTTAGATTTCAAAAAGTGAAGCCCAACAGGTTCTCCGCTCTGTTAGCCCTTCAGAAAGAAAAACCCTAGTGTTAGTGAAAAATAGCAAGAGTGCACTGGAATCTCAGGCCAACCTGTGAGCAAACATTCGGTACACCGAGATCAGAGAAGAAAAATGGGAAGAAGTTGGCAAGAGGATCTCAGCTTACATTTCTATGTGTTTGATTAGCTCTCCAATAGTGAAAGGCAAACTTAAAAAGTCACCAATGGTAATTGTTCAATAACTCTCTCTATAACTTCTTTGATCTGGAGGATTCTGTGTTTAGCTGTGTATATATCATTATGGGCATGTACTTTCAGGTTACCTTTTTATTGATAAAACTCTGTCTTTTAAACACTAATATTCTTCTGATGACTTTAGATGGCTGTGAATTATGGGACATCACCATCTGTGAAAGGCTGGAATGGCGAGAAAGGTGATGGAGAGATGTGTGCTGAGCACAAGGCGGCCACGGCCTGTTATCAGTGATGATGCTCATTCAAAAAGTGATGTTGAAAGATATGGTTAGAAAAGGAGGTGGGTCAGGCATTGATCAAGAGGGAAGGATAAGGGGTGGGCACTCCCACTACTGTGTGAATACCCAGATAATTTTAAATGGTTTAGAAGAAGGCTTCCCACCTGTTGAGTGAAGCACTATGAAGGATTTCTAAGAACATACATACATAATACATATGTGTATATATGTATATATAACACACATATGTATATGTATATATATACATATATATACACACATACATACATATACATACATATAATATATATAGATAGGAGAGAGAGAGAGAGAGAGAGAGAGAGAGAGAGAGAGAGAGAGAGAGAGAGAGAGAGAGAGTCATACAGTGTGAGAAAATGTTAGATGGAGGAGGAAGTTCCATTGCATATTGGATAGAATGCTAGACTTGGCATCAAGAAGACCTGGGTCCACATTCTTCTTTAGACACTTACTAGTTGTATAACCCTAGGCAACCAATTAACCTCTTTTCATCTCAATTTCCTCATGTGTTTTAAAATGGCGATAAGAGTACCTTGTTACAAAGCTCTGTGTCTAGGGGCAACAAGGGAAGAGGGCTTCTCTGAGAGAGCCCCGGGGTAACCAGAAAGCCCCAGAATGGGGTAGGAGAGCAGGTGCGGTAGGCAGCAGCCAGTACAGTACTGGAGTGCTCAGACTGGGATAACCCAAGTCCAGAGGTTATGAGATCCCTCACACGCTATCTTGACACACCAGAGAGGCTCTTGATGATCCAGAACTCTCCACATCAAAGATTAGGGTTGGGGGGGAGGTTAACCCTCTGAGGTAGAGGTCAGTGCAGGAACCCTGGGGAATCTGAGGTGAAGCCAAAAATGACTCTCCAGCTGACACAAAAGCATAGCCAAGGGGGCAGAGTCTGGCCCTGGAGCAAAGCATCAGTTAAAGGCCTGGAGAGATGAATAAATAAAAAAAACCCCACACCAATCAGTATCGAAAATTATTGCAAATCCCCATAGGAATGAATAACTATAAAAACTGTAAGCCAAGACTCAATAGAGAAAAAAAAAGATTTTCCATAAGGACTATATGAATATGCACAAGAAATGAAGCAAGAGATGAAATGAAATAAAAGTTTTAGAAGAAAGAATTTGAAGAACTAATAGCAAGAAATATTCGAACAAAATCAAAATTCTGAAAAATAGAAGAAAATGTGAAACATCTGCTGTAAACACAACTTGAATACAATATTTTAAAACACAAAATATAAAGGCTTACATCCAAGAATAACTCAATCTGCAAAACTGAGTATAATCCTGCAGGGGGGAAAATGAACCTTTCTAATGGAATAGAAAACTTTCAAATTTTTTCTGATGAAAAGACCAGAATTGAGTAGGAACTTTGAAACAGAAACATGAGAATGCAGAGAAATAATAGAAAGATAAAATTTGTTGAATAATTGAAAGGAGCTAAATCATGATGTGATGCCAATATTCCAATAGGAAGAGAAGAAAGAAATGTCCCTTTAGAACTTCAAAGTTTGTTAAAGGGATCAAATTTAAAATGAAAATAAAAGTCTTGAGGTTGCTAGATTCTATTCTGAGGGGTTGAAGAGAGAAAAGTGAAGGGAGGGTAGAAGGAATACACCAGAATAGAGAAGAGAAAGATGAGGGTGAAACTTGATATTTCTCATATCTGGAGCATATATGAAGAAAAGCATACAAATATGAAAGGGTGTGGATGCGGTCATCTAATGAACCTCACTCTTATTTGAAATGTCCAGAGGAAGTTTGAACACACACACACACACACACACACACACACACACACACACAAATGGTTTGGCATATAAATACATCAAACTTAACAAGGAAACAAATAATGGTGGAGAGAGGAAAATACTAGAGAAGAAATAAGTAGCAGCATAAAAAAAAAAATGATCCAAATGACCAGATCTTGAAGAGGGGAATTGAAAGGATAAAAAAGAAAAGAAAAGGAAAAAAAGAGCTATAAGGGGATGCCTTATATTGCCTTTAGATAATTGAGAAATGGGGAAACACATTGGAGTGTATGAATTTAATAGAATATTATTGTATGTCAGAAATGATGAATTACATGTCTGTGCATTCATACAAATGATTTGCAGTGTGCATCATTCAAACATCTATGACGACTTACAAGAAAACAACATATTGACTTAGGAGTGAAAAAGATGTGTTTAGAAGTCCCAGTAGTATAAAGAATAATGTTATCAATTCAGTAATTAGCTGATTTAAAAAAAAAAGAAAACATAATTTTAAAAAAGTGAGAATGGCACTAGGTTTGGAGAATAGCCCTGTAAACTTGGGCCAGAAAGCCCAGGCGGATAAAGTTCAACATCACCTCAGACATTTGGGGAGGGGGAGAGCAGGAGACACCGTTCCATCTAGGGGACCACAAAGAAACTAGTGGTAATCAGGATGTGCCAGTCCAGGTCCAGAAAACGATAGTAAGATAGAAAACTTTAGCTTAGAGCCACCTTGTCAATGGCTAGGGAGTTTCTTTTAATACACACTAT